TGGACAGAAGAAAACGACTCGAAACTTCTAGAACGCTGGCATCCTGCTGCGACTATGAACGCATTGACAGAAAAAACAATAAAGATATTAGACATGCTGAGTAGACACTTTATGAAAAAGAACAATAAGCTTCGTAATGAACTAATTATAGAAATGTTGCGTCATTCCTTTGTAATTCGTAAAGCGGCATTCCTTTGTAACTGCTTGACCTATTAATTCCCGTGATTTCTTGTTTATTCTGGAACTTTCCATTTAAAATGTATAAAAGTAGCATTTGTACGATTTGAGGAGTAGTATTAGTTAGTTCGATAGTTAGTCTTTACGCTCTTCGACGATAGACGATTATTATTAAGACTTATTATTGCTCTCATAATCGGAGAGTTATTTTTCTATGATCAATCTTCGGATCATAATTTGGTAGCAGAGGGTAGTTGAGTTCAAGTCGTTAATGATAATCATTAGAGGAAAATGGCTGGAAAAAAGAAGGGCCGTAAAGAGAAGAATAAAGAATTAGAGGAAGACGAACAATCAATGAATTTTCGAGCTGAAATATCGAAACTGAAAAGGAAGAAAGCTGTGGAAAAATCATCGTTCACTCGCATCAAGCATCAACTAATCGAGTCCATTGCCGAAGATGAGTTATCTAGTCAAAATGAAGTACGAAGCCTGAGAGCAAAGTTGTCTGATCAACAAGAACAGGTAATCAACGTGCTTGTTGAACTATCACATCAATACGAAAAATTTAATGATAATGAGAATGTAGAACTCATCAACAACGAGATTGAAGAGATTAATAACGAATTTGAAAAAATCATGAAAGATGCAAATGGGTATCTCGCAAGTCACAAAGGAGATGGATCCAGCATTGGGACAAGAGTGTCAAGTAAGATGAGTCAGCTCTACGTCAGTGAAGCTAGAGCCCGTGAACAAGAAAAACGTGTCAGAGAAGAGCTCCAGGCTAAGGAACATATACTGCGACAAAAGCAACAACAATTGGAAGAAAATTACAGAGCTGAAAAGACCAGGCTAGAACAAGAACTGGCAGCCCAAAAAAGAAAGCTACAAGAAGCTTCAAAAAAGACAAAGCAATGTCATCAGCAGCTTGAAACAGAGATCGAAACGGAACTTGGTATGGGCCATGGAGAAGCTGATAATGAAACGGCAAGTTTTATGATAGAAAGACCTTGTGTAAATGCATATAATCGTAATGTATACGAACAAGAGGCTCAAAGTGCAAGGCATATTAACAGTAAAGCTGCAGATATTGGACAAGATCTGTGGAAACAGCTAAAACGAGTGTCAATTCCAGTGTTTTATGGTGACAAAAAGACGTATGAGATGTGGAAGGCAGCATTTACAGCCTGTATAGATCAAGCACCTGCTACTGCTGAATACAAGCTACTACAACTGCGTCAATATCTTTCTGGCGAAGCGCTTAGTGCAATTGATGGTCTGGGTCATTCAGCATTCGCCTATGAAGCAGCAAAAGAAAGACTTGAAAGAAAATATGGTGGGACAAGACGGAAAGTGATGATCTACCTGGACGAACTGGACAACTTCAAACCTATCAGAGAAGATCATCCGAGAGATATAGAAAGGTTCGCAGACTTATTGGATGTAGCAGTTACTAACCTTCGTGAAGCAAAACGAACAGAAGAACTTGGTAGTGGAACTTTGTACCACAAGTTGTTGAGAAAAATGACTGAGAAAATGCTGTCAAGATTTAAGCGCTGGGTTTACGAGCATCAAAAGAATGAAGATGTTGAAACGCTGCGACAGTTTATTATTGAGGAAGCAGAATTTCAAGTAGCAGCCGCAGAAACAATTCACGGCTTTCATAAGAACATGGTTACAAGACCCAAAAACTCTAGCAGTTCATTCTTTGGAGCAGATGACCGATCAAAGAAGTTGAAATTCTTGAGGAAATGCTACGTTTGTCAAAATGATCATATGATATGGGACTGCAGTGCCTTCAAAAGCAAAAAAGTGAACCAGCGATGGGAAATTGCAAAGAAGCAGAAGCTTTGTTTTAAGTGTTTGAGAAGCAACCACCTGGCAAGAGCATGCAGAAATAGTCGAATTTGTGGTATCGACGGGTGCACTGATACACATAATCGTCTCCTTCACAAGAACAAAGAGGATGTGGTTGACAAAGTAAAGACAAGAGAAACTGAGAAAGGGCATGAGGGGGAGTCAGTTGAAAGTTCCCATACTTCAACATTGTCTAAAGAAAAACAAGATGAAGTAAAGTTTGTGTCACTAAGAACTGTTCCAGTTGTTTTAAAGAATGGCAATAAGAAGATTGTGGTTAACGCTCTGTTAGATGATGGAAGCACGAAAACCTATCTAAATAGCGATGTGGCAACAGAACTGGACTTGAAAGGTGAACGGCAAAATGTAACAGTCAGTATGCTTAATGGTGTAGCTGATTCTCTTGAGACAATGCCAGTTGAATTTCAACTTGAGTCCTTGGATGGAAAGCTGAAAACGCAGATCCAGGCATTAACAGTCAACCGAGTTACAGGCAATCTGAGAGCTGTCAATTGGGTAAAAATGGCAAACAACTGGAAGCATTTAAAAGATATCAAATTTCCCAGTGTTGGACCAAAGCCAACGATTGACATCTTAATTGGTGTGGACCATGCTGATCTTCACTGTGCACAGAGAGAGGTAAAGGGGAAAGCAAATGAACCAGTGGCCCGGCTGACACCACTTGGGTGGACTTGTGTAGGTGATTGCAATGGGCAAGTTATTTCAACCAACTTTGTGATGTCACCAAAAGACGACAGAGAATTGATAAAGATAAACAGTACGATTAGAAAGTTATGGGAGATTGAAGGGGATGAAAGTATAAAAGACAAGACATTGATGTGCCCTGAAGACATTGAAGCACTGGAAATGGTGAAGAACTCATTGGAATACCATGATGGAAGGTATGAAATTAGAATACCATGGAAAAAGGAAAGAAAACTTGATGACAATTACGAAATGGCTTTGAACCGATTAGCAAACACGGAGAAGAGACTTTTGAAAGACAAACAGCTGGGTAATAGCTATAATGAGATTATACAGCAATATCTACGAAAGGGATATCTTGAAAAAGTCGACAAAGAACCTGGAAAAGATTGCTGGTACTTGCCACACTTTCCTGTTCTACGTCCCGATAAAGCAACTACCAAGGTGCGCATTGTCTTCGATGGGTCAGCAAAATACAATGGCATGTCTGTCAATGATGTAATTCACCAAGGACCGAAACTTCAACAAGATTTGGTGAAAGTACTCTTGCGATTCCGGAAGCATCCAGTTGCCTTGGTTTGCGACATAGCCGAAATGTATTTACAAATTGGAATACATCCAGATGACCGGCAGTATCAAAGAATTTTGTGGAGGAACATGGATCAAACTGCTGAGCCCGACGTGTTACAATTCAACAGAATGGTATTTGGAATAAATTCGTCACCCTTTGGAGCTCAATTTGTATCACAAGAACATGCAAGAAGAAGTGCAGAAGAATTGCCAATGGCTGCAAGCTCAGTGTTAGATTCAACTTATATGGATGACACAATGGATTCAGTGACTGATGACGAAGCAGGTATCAAACTATACACGGAACTGTCAGAACTTTGGCACTCAGCCGGTATGTATGCAAGAAAGTGGCTATCGAATTCAACAGCAGTATTGAAGGTCATCCCAGAGACAGATCGTGCAGAAAATATCGACTTGGATGCTGGAGAATTACCGTCAGTGAAAACACTTGGGATCGTGTGGAATGCTCAACGAGATGTGTTCACGTACAAGTCTGTCAAACAAGCTGAAGGTACGACATATACAAAACGTTTTTTATTAAAGGAAATGGCAACGCTCTTTGATCCATTGGGATTCATTTCGCCATATGTCATCCGTATCAAAGTCATCATGCAAGAATTATGGTTACATGGACTGAATTGGGATGATGAACTTCCTGGTAATGTGGTAACGAAAATAAAAGCATGGTTTCATGAGTTGGAGAAATTGCCATTGATTCAAATTCCAAGATGCTTAAGGACGACGTCATTAGTAACAAGTCAGTTCATTCATGTGTTTACGGATGCATCTAGTGAAGCATATGGTGCAGTTGCCTATCTACAGTCTGTTTACGAGTCAGGGGAATATTCTTCTCGTCTTATCATGTCCAAGGCAAGAGTTGCTCCTTTAAAATCGATAAGCATCCCAAGACTGGAACTGCTAGGAGCTGTTCTCGGATTAAAGTTGGCAGACAAAATAGCTGACGCTTTGAAAATGGAGTTACAAGACGTGAGATTCTGGAGTGACAGTATGAATGTGTTGTGGTGGATAAGAAATCAAAGTCGAAACTTGAAGCCGTTTATTGCAAATCGGGTTGGATTGATTCAATCAAGAACTGAAAACAGTCAATGGAGATACATTCCAACGAAGAAAAATCCTGCTGACTTACTGAGTAGGGGACTATCCGTGACAGCTTTGGTGCAGAATGAAAGTTGGTGGAATGGCCCCAGTTTCCTGTACAATCCTGAAGAATCTTGGCCAGATAATCAATTTCAAGTAACAGACGAAGCAATATCGGAAATGAAGAAGACAGCTGTTGATACAACAGCCTTATTTGTAACAGAGAAGTCTGACGAAATATTAGATCCAAAACGATACTCAAAATGGAATAGATTGATAAAAGTAAATGCATGGGTGAATCGATTCTTGAATAATTGCAGAAGACCAAAGCATCTACGGAGTCAAGGAAATTTGAGAGTTGACGAAATGCAAGAAAGCGAGTATGAGTTCATCATCAAAGCCCAAAAGGAAAGCTTTGAAGAGGAATATGAAAGATTGGTGAAAGGAAAGATATTACCACCATCAAGCAAGATCATAGCACTGAAACCACAATTAGGTGAAGATGGATTAATGCGATCCTGCGGACGGTTACAAAATGCAGAGTATTTACCATATGATATCAAATATCCCATCATTTTACCGAGGGGACACATTGTAACCAGGTTGATTGTCAGGCAGTGCCACGAAGATGGAAATCATGCTATGGGGACGAATCAGACGCTGGCTAAGCTATCAGAACGATATTGGCTGATAAGAGGCAGAGAAGAGATTCGCGAAGTCATAAATAGATGCAACCAGTGCAAGGTGAAAAAGGCAACACCCGCAAATCAACTTATGGCTCCATTACCATCGATTCGTCTCAAAGAACCACTACGTGCATTTGCAAGAATTGGATTGGATTTTGCAGGACCATACATCACCAAACAAGGACGAGGAAAGAAACAAGCCAAGAGGTACTTGTGTTTATTTACATGTTTACTATCAAGGGCAGTACATTTGGAACTAGCGTATGGGCTGGACACCAATTCATTTCTTAACGCATTCTACAGAATGGTAAACAGACGAGGATTACCAAGCGAAGTATTGTCGGATAATGGTACAAATTTTGTTGGTGGTAACAAGGAGTTGCAAGAGCTAATTAACCACTTGGATAGAGATAAGATTGAAACTTCAGTTGCTAACAAAGGGATCACATGGTACTTCAATGCTCCTTTAGCACCACACCTGGGAGGAGTCTTCGAAACTATGATAAAAGCAGCTAAAAGAGCAGTAACTGCTATCCTCGGAAAAGCAGATATAACAGACGAGGAGCTTCATACAGCCTTTACAGGTGCGGAAAGTCTATTGAATTCAAGACCATTGACTTATCAAAGTGCTGATATCAAGGATGATGTACCTTTAACTCCTAACCATTTCTTATTTGGACAAGCTGGTGGAAAATTTGCCCCAGAGTCAGTCGACACCGAAGATTACCATCCTTCAAGACGATGGAGACGAGTGCAAGAACTAGTACGTCACTTTTGGAAGCGTTGGATGAAGGAGTGGTTGCCATCTTTATCGCTGCGCCGTAAATGGAACAAAGAACAAGGCGAGTTAAAGGTGAATGATGTTGTGTTGATAATATCACCAGATACCCCAAGAGGAAACTGGCCATTGGGGCGTGTAGTAAAAGTCTTCCCAGGAAGCGATGGACATGTTCGAGTAGTTCAAGTGAAAGTAGGAGCAAAGGAGATAAAACGACCGATTTCAAGACTGTGTCCCCTTGAGTTCAGTAGTGGATAGTGGTGTTTGATGACAGTTTTCATCAAAGAGGGGGAGAATGGACAGAAGAAAACGACTCGAAACTTCTAGAACGCTGGCATCCTGCTGCGACTATGAACGCATTGACAGAAAAAACAATAAAGATATTAGACATGCTGAGTAGACACTTAATAAAAAAGAACAATAAGCTTCGTAATGAACTAATTATAGAAATATTGCGTCATTCCTTTGTATTTCGTAAAGCGGCATTCCTTTGTAACTGCTTGACCTATTAATTCCCGTGATTTCTTGTTTATTCTGGAACTTTCCATTTAAAATGTATAAAAGTAGCATTTGAGTAGTAGTATTAGTTAGTTCGATAGTTAGTCTTTACGCTCTTCGACGATAGACGATTATTATTAAGACTTATTATTGCTCTCATAATCGGAGAGTTATTTTTCTATGATCAATCTTCGGATCAGGCAGTATTTAGAAAGATTGACAGCAGTGCAATAATATTTCATACTTTTACGGCAAATGATTTTATTTTACAGTAGGAGATTTATTTTCACTAATGAACAATCATTAGCAATGCAATCAATGCTTGTTTTAATAGCTTCCAATTTCCTTCTGAAAATCATAGATTCAAAAACACTGTCTGAAGAAGCAAGGGAAGAATTATTCAAAAAAATTGATGAAAATAAGGACTTCATTGGCTGGATGATAGATATCATTTCACCAACATTCATATCAAACAATATGCTTCAGAGGTTTTTCATATATATTTTTTCGTAATTTTAAGACTTGAATTTTTAGTTTGACTTGCTCAAAATATTTCTTAATTATATGTCACCCATTCTAATTGATTTCAAAGAAACTTGAGTCTTAAGCTTTATCCTTGAATTGATCCTCTTCAAATTGACCCCCCTCAAATAAGCCCCGGTCCTAGAACTACAAATTGTCAATATGGCACCGCCCTCAAATAAGGACTTACTTGTAATGTAAATCCTTGAATCAGCCCCCTTGATCTGCCTATTGTTACCATCTGAGGATGCTTTGTTGTTTTATTGAATTGCCGCAAAATTATACCTTAGGTAATAATTAATCAAGTGTTAATAAATAAGTTCCTACTAAAATATATGAGGTCTTTCAATAATATCTTCCTGATGTCTACTATAATTTAATAAACCCCCTCTTGTATAAGCCCCCCTAGAATATCCAACCATCCAATAATATGAGAAATAAATGTGAGAA